ATAATTTTTAAACAGAAAATGATGGCAAATCTGTCTATACCTGGATGCAACGGCGGAACCCTGGAGACCGAAGCGTTCGTAATCGCCTCCATAGATGTCCTTCACTAGTTTGTCCACATTTGTGCTGTCCCCTTTAGCTGCCATCTCTAAGGCCTCCTCAAATGTCTCACAGCCAGTCAGCAAACAACACAGGCCTAGAAACGTACCACCTCCTAAACTGAATCACAACCAATGAAGCAAATGAATGGCGGTGTATTTAAAAACTGTTGCATTACTTTAGGTAGATTACAGATCTTGCTTCTACAACATATTTAACTATTTAAATTACAAAATGATAAAAAATGACTAATTTGTACTTTACAATTACAGTACTATAGAACTTTAGACTCTTTATCGCCATCTATGGTTCAAACATAAAATTGCAAGTTAGTTTTGTCAGTTGCACTTTGGTAAGGACCTAAAACAAAAAATAGACAATGTGGCCACAAACCAAGAATTTCTTCCTATGACTTAATTCATGGCCACATTTTATGAATGATTTCCTTAGTTTAAGTTCAAATGTGGCCACATTGTATTAATTGGTTCACACATTGTAATTTAGTTTTAAAAAATAAGGCCACATTTGAATAAAAAGGGGAACAATTTAGTATGCCATTTAACTAAAATGACAAAAGTCTTGGCAACAAATTTTTAATTCATGGCCATGATATCTTGTTTTTTCCCCCCCTGCATGTCATGTGCAGGACTCCGTACTTTGCCAATTCTCTTCTGCGTGAATAAATCATCAGTTTTGAGCTATATCTGTGGTTCTTTGATAACATATCTGATAAATGTGTCGTCTGGTTAGTTAGAAGCATATCTGCCACAATAGTAGCCAGATCTTCTTTTCTTTACTTATGTAAGTGATGTATACAAGCAAGGATGAAAGGCATAAACCTGAAATCAACCTGTTTGCTTCACTACAAGAAAAAAACATGATGCCGGAATTCACCTGGTGCCTGTGACTCGCTTGTAATCATCCTTGGAATAGACAGCAAGGATGCTAACCCCCGAGCCAATGTTTACCAGCAACATAGGGAAAGGGTTCTCCAGGCTAAATGGCCTCTTGACACAGTTTTCAGGGTCGGAGGGATTTTGGAAAAAATAACACTCGGGATGGCCATTGAACCCAACTGAGTCAACGTACAGCAGACCTTGAATAAGACAGTCCAGTTCATCCAGCTTCTGCAGCTCCAAACCAGCCACCTGCGGGAAGAAGCAAACACACAATCATAAATGTGATAGGCATAGCTAATGTTAGCCATTCATTGTCCTGATAACAGTAACAGGATAAGTGGCAGTAAAATACATTACAGTATGTCAACAAAACACTAGCCTGCT